ATTGCATGCGCTTCGCATTTTGTTTAGCAGCTTGAGTTTAGCTAACTGAACATTATGGAAGCTGTTTTTTCCGATTATGTACGAAAACAAGGGGGAGGAAACCACCCTGAGGAATTTTCAGGGACATGTATGAAACGGGGAGGGGGACATCCATAATTCCATGATCATCATAGCATGACACTTACAACTTACATCTGGAGACCGTGAAATGTAGATTGAGAGGGGGGTGTTCCCCCCCTCGAATATACATTGATGTGCCCCGGTGATCCTGCATGACTAACACGTTCCCACTTTCCTAAGCCTGTGCGGTCAATATATGGCAAAAATCCTGGCGTCTTGCCGACCACAAAAGTGCAACTAGAAGACTAGATCACAACACATGTGGCAATCTAAGCCTATTGAACCATCGATTTTATGCATTGAATGCAGTCAATCACCTTCATCCATCTCCTATCAACCTGATCAACCAGAAGCCAGAGCAACCACTCAGGTGCTCAAAGAACCTGGAAAGCAACGGATTAACCTACTATATACTGCAAATGTTTCGTAGAATGATCAACGCCAGGATACCCAACATTTACTGTAAGAGTCGGTAAAAGAAAAAGTCCTTTGTGACCACCGTCCTTTGTTCCACCGAACGCCGCCTCGGCGCCTCGCCTCGGCTACGGGGCGCCCGCCTACTGACCGGTTTCGAACCGACCGGTGGAACCCTTCTCCGACCGGGTCTGAACATCTGCAGAACCCGTCGGTTCGGGTGTCCAACGAAAGCTTCGAACCAGGCTGGGGCACTTCTTCACTTTGCTGCGGTTATTGTCCCGCAAGGCTTTGTTCAGGTCCTGCACCACCAAGCCATCAACGAGTACTTGCGCTGTCTGCGCTTGTGGCCCAGTACTTGCGTTCGGTGTCCGGGAGATGTTGTGCCTCCAAAGTGTCTCCAACTGGTTTTCGGAGCGTCCGGACCGACCCTCTGACCAAGGCCTCTCCAAGTGTCGAACCCATCACCATCACTAGGGCATGTGGATTCATAGATGTGAAAAAAGGGGTAGAATCCCTATCAAAAAGTACTGGAAACCGCTTCTACCTATTTGGGGACCACCATAGGGTGAGGGATGGATTCCAGTTTGTTCCAGCAGGCCAGCTTTCACTCCAACACAATCTCCAATGCGTTTTGATGGTGATGATCGGTTGGGACGTCTTCTCGCTGATGGTTTTCTTATGTTTCCTGCAGATTTTCCTGCCCAAACCTCCAACTGGGCAGCCGTCCATACAAATAACTCTTCAGCACTCCTGGTAGATGGCATTGGAGGTATACAGCATGATGGCCGCATACTCCTGCCATCGGGCACTGGAATTGTTGTACACGAGTTTTTACGACCCGCGGGTCAAGAAACCTTCACTCTCCAAGTCATGAACGTGGAAGTGGAACAACACCAGTTTGCGTGTTTGTAGAGAAAAATGCCTTTTGAAGGGCCTGCTTTCCACTTCCATGATTGGGAGTGGATATCCAGCACCTTGTCCAACTGATCATTGAGACTTTTGTGTCCAACTCGCCTCCATGTTGGAGAGTCGGTATTTGATGAGAAGATCGGAATACCGCTGAGCGGAGCAGCGGTGAATCCCATTGATGTTTTGTTTGCGGAGAGATCATGCAATTTGACCATCCTTACGCTTGCTGGCAGAAGGGGATATCTACTCGTAGCTATTCATCCAAGTGATCAACATCCTCCATGAATCTCCATGAGGTCAATGGGGTTGAAGGAGGATAGCAAAGCCAAATTGAACACCAGTATGGCCAAGAAACCCCTTCAGCTTCAAGTACGTCCAGTGAGTGAGTCTATCTCCCCCAAAAGGCGACCCACAGCATGGCCTAGCATGCCCATGGTCCCGATTTGGTTCTCTTGGTCAAAAGAACCAATTGCAGGGTCTGCAAATGTAAGAACATCCAAGCTTTTTGGCTGGTGACTCGTTCGGAACAGCCATCCACCCCTTTCGCAAACGCGCTGCGAGTTCTTTCTGCAAACGCGCTTGATCTGGATTGAATCCGTCCAACACTCAGGCCACCTTTGGCGGCCTGGGAGAAGTTTACGGCATTGACACGAGTCTTTTGCAGTTGGATTGAAAAAATGATTGAAGCGATCTATCGTGCCATTCATCCATCTACTTCTGTCATGTAGTGTCGATTTCTTTGATTCTCCCCGTAGCTTGGAGCTGTAGCTTGGAGCTGAGCTTGCAAGTGACCCAGTCTGAAGCATCAGGGCATTACCACGTTGAGCTGTTGATCTTTCAGCCAAGTCCTGCAAATCCCACGGTGTCTTTCTGTCAGAGATCTGCTTGACATGTCAGTGCCTTCTCACACTTCCAGGGATTCCCGTGTCCGACACAAACTGGTGGACTGGCTAGGTATATAATCGCAACTAAGATGTCAATCTGTCAGGTTCCCTAGGAGGGGCTTTCATTTTGGACTCAAGTCTCCATCTCCCCATCTCTATACTTCCTCTGTCCCTATTTCATCCGACTTCCCTACTCGAGCCATCACATTCCCAATCCACACTCTGCGCGGGGCCGCCTCAAGATGAACCACTCTGCGACGCCTCTGACTCCGAGTCGGAACTCGCGTCGCTGTGCGGCAGCGCAGGGGCAAACGAAGACCTCGCACAGGCGCCGAAGACCTTGCGGCCACGGGCGAAGAAGATCTGCAGTAAGGAGAGGCCCAACGGAAGCTTTGCAGTGCCTGGTGGCGCGACCAACGGAGTGTCTTTGCGCCAAGGAGATGGTTTCGTGGGGGCCCGCAAGCAGAGCAAGCAGAGCAAGCAGTGGTCGAGCATGCATGGCAAGATTTGGAGCGAATGAAGTTGAGTTTTTTTGGGGTGCTTTTCGGGGTAATGAAGCTTTGCACTTGTCTGGGAAATGCGAACCGGAGTAGATGGGTGATTTTTGGATGAGAAGGCAATCTCGGAGACGAGTGAAGATCGTGTGACAAATGGAGTGAAACAAACGCGCTTGTCTTGCAGTCATCTTCGTGCTATTTTATATATATATATATATATGGAATCCCGTGTTAACGGAGTGGGCACTCTGGGCTTTAGAATAATACGAAAGTTTTGCTCCTGTTTTGAAAGGGAAGTTCGAAAGCATGTCCTAACCTGCCTATGCTCAGTGGGCAAAAGACAAATCAGTGAGTGACACGATGGTGGCCTTGTATGCCGAGCAATGCAAAAGCCAGAACCACCGACCAGCTGGCGGCAGAAAGCACCAGCCAAGCCATGGACAGTGTCCTGGGATGTGTGCGTTTTTTCCCGAGACTCAGCCTGGCTCCAAAGACTGCTGTGAGATCTATCTTTGGTTTAAGAACTCTCTAAAACCCGTCACAAATAACAACTACTCGGAGCTTCCGGTGCTTCACAGCGACGACCAAAAACCAACGAAAAAAGAAAAAAACCGACGTCTCTTCTCATCCTTCTTTGTGCTTCAGCGTCTGCATGCTCAAAATGCTGGACAATGAACAAACAACTGCAAAGATCACCAAGACCACTGCAACTGCCTTGGTCAACACCTTCAGAATGAAGCAACGCTCGTCATCTGCTCGTCGAAGAATTACACCAATCCTCGGTAGGAGTCCACGGCCGAGTCGACCCATGGTGTTTTTGGGGGATACTGGGAATATCCCCTATGGCATTCAAGGTCTAGAGTCTGCCTCTAATCATTCTATATAGCTTGCGCAGTCTGACAAGGATGGGTGGTCCTTTTGCTGTGAAACCCAGGAATGGTCACCGGTTGAAGCCCTGTGGACGTGGATGTCCGACAATTCAAATGTCTTTTTGAGGTGCCAGAGACATATCAAAGCTCCAATTCTACCAAGTGTATAATGGTCATTCTTCCATGTCCTTTTCTCTTTTGTTTCTCAAAACTCCGATTCTGCCAAAGTAGACTCTAACCTCTTGGGCTGCTGTGTTTCACGCCGTCCCCATCGTCCGGCTCACTCAATCCCAAGCATCAGTAACAGCCGGACGACGAGGGAGAGCCCTGCCAACAAGGCCCACAAAAGGTAGTTGACCCCTCGATAGTGTATAAGCTCCAGCACTAAGAAGGCCAGGGTCACCAGCTCATAAGGGCCCAGAATGATCACCGGACATGAGATCTCCTCAGTCGAGCTCTGCCGGGACACCAAGTGCCACTTGAAAATTTCTGGAAACGATTTTCTTCATTCTTGGGTCAACCAATTCCAAATATCAGGTCTAGGGCACCAACATGTGAACAGTATGACACCAGCGAACTCATCGTGAATTAATTGGCCATGCCAGGAACAAGGATGACCATGTAGGTATGTGATGTGGGATCTATGATTTCCGCAGCTACATAATCGAGGTTAGTTCAAAACCATATCAATATATTTATAAATTTGTTGTCCATCAAACATATGTTTTTTCTCTAGCAGTACACGTTGATTAAGTTTAAGTGACTCGAAGAAGGTGATCCGAGTAGGCCCCCAACACACACACACAAGGCCCCTGTAGGAGTCTTCCAGGTCTCCGAGTAGGCTGCGTACTCGATGTCCACTCCAGACCGCGCCACCTCTCTTAGGGCTGTGGTAGACATTCCTGCTGTCCTGAACGAACGAAGGACACCCTGTAACCACCCGCAACAGTGCCGCTGCCCAACATTTCGGTGAGCACCGATGGCGAGCCCACGGCAATGGTGGCAATTTTGGTTTCTTGTTGGCATTGTTTTCAGGTGCACCTACCTCAAGGATGCTTGTAAAACTGTTGAACATGCACCGTTGGCATCCATTGACCTTCCCCCAAAGGATCAACCATTCTTTCAAGGATTTCACACAACAAACCCAGAATCAAAATCCATTTTTGACACCTCTAGTTCATACCATGGAGACTATGTCATGGAACAATCATTTCTTCGGGTCTCAAGAGCACGTGGATGGCATAGTCCACCTCTTCCCGCTTTCCGCCGATCTCCGCGCGGATCTTCACCGCGTCCGCCGGCTCCGAACACTCCGCGTGCCTGGAGCTTCAACGACGGTGTCGGGTCTCTGCGGGCGCCCTTTCTTTTCCAGAAAAGGACGTTATACGGGTGCGTTTTGCAGTGTTCTTGAAGCCCCTTGTTTTAGCACTTTGCATGTTGAAGGCGTTCAGACGTTGAGGACGAGACCTCGTTACCGTTGTTGCAGATAGTTTGCATGGCAAGGGTGAATGGCCATTACCAGTACTATTGACCTTTGGCATTTGCATTGCCATTGCTATTAGCATCAGCATTAGAATTACCATTAGCGTGCCCAGTACCACTAGCATTGTCATTAGCAAAGTCCTCAGAGGTCAAAGAGCAAATGGCATCACCATCACAATTGCCATTGGCATTGAGCCTCCTCGATGTTGCCAATGACCTCGATCGGCTCCTCCCAATATCTTCCTTTCACTTGTTCCCATTTCCATCCCAGGAGAGTGTCTGTATCCAAGTCTCCCGATTTCCTCCATGCCGCGTCCTCTGCTCTAGGTTCCGCTGCTGCCGGGCGCTTGCTGTACTGGTAATGGTAATTTACCATTGACCCGTGGTGATGCTAGTCGCAACGGTGATGGAATGCCATTCACCCTTTGACCTGTAAGAGCTTTGCACCCTGTGACCATTCACCCTGTGAGCTGTGGGACCTTGCCATTCCCTGTGAGCTGTGGGAGCTTGATGCCATGCACCTCTGGTTATGCTAATGGCAATGGTATTGCCAAGGGCAATGGTAACGCACCCCCACAAAAATGATCACAAACACAAACTCAAACGCAACGGCAAACAGACAATCACAAACACAACCACAAGCACAATCAGAACACACAGCCACAAGCACACAAACCACACACGCAATCACACAACCACAGCCACAACACAAACACGCAACCAAAAAGCACCACCACAACACACAACCACAAAACAGAAGCCACAAGCGCAACCACAAACACACAACCACATCACACAATCACAATACACAGCCACAACACACAACCACAGCACATAACCCACAACCACAACATACAAACGCAACACTCAAGCGCAACCACAAAAACACAACAACAAAATAGATACCCGTGTGTGTGTGTGTGGCTTTTTGCGTTGCAGGTGGTCACAGGGTAGTACTTTTGGATGCCAACTGGAGACCCAGGGGACACCCCGACGCAAACTCCCTAGCACTAAAATAGCAACCCTTAAAGCGGAGGACCCACAAGCAAAATCGAATACCGCAAAAAGCATGACCGTGGCAAAGTGCTCCTCACCAGGGCTTGAAATGGAAATGTCATGCTGGGGATGACTCGAAATAGTTTTAAAGTCCGCTC